AGAGAGAGAGAGAGAGAGAGAGAGAGAGAGAGAGAGAGAGAGAGAGAGAGAGAGAGAGAGAACGATCGGGGCCTGCGCCATCGCCTCTGGCCTCGGCCTCCGCCCACCTCCGTTCGGCCTCCACCGACCTCCGCTCGGCCCCCGCCCACCTCCGTTCGGCCTCCACCGACCTCCGCTCGGCCCCCGCCCACCTCCGCTCGGCCTCCGCCCACCTTCGCCCACCTCGGACCACCTCCCCTCCGTCTCCGCCCACCTCCGTCGGCCTTCCCCCGCCATCTCCTCTCCTCCGGATATCTCCTCCCACCATCTCCTCTCCGTCCGCCTCCTCCGGATATCTCCTCCCACCATCTCCTCTCCGCCTCTGCCACCTCCCGTTCACCTCCTCCCGCCCGCCTCCTCCCGCCATCTCCTCTCCACCTCCGCCACCTCCCGTCCTCCTCCTCCCACCATCTCCTCTCCACCTCTGCCACCTCCCGTACGCCTCCCGCCATCTCCTCTCCGCCTCCGTTCAGCTGCCCGTACATCCGCCATCCCTCTGCCCGCCTTTTAAAACAAAAACAAAAAAAAATGGTGCGTGCCCACCTCCCCTCGGCCAGCGCCGACCTTCTGGCCGCCTCTGCTCACCTCCCTCCCGCCATTGGGATCGCCAATCTCCCCTCCGCCTCCGCCCACCTCCCATCCGCATCCTTTGGAGATGTCCTCTCTCTCTTTCCGCTCGGCCTCCGCCACTTCTCCGCCTCCGCTCACCTCCGCTCTGGGCTCCGTTCCTCTGCCCGCACATCCGCCATCCCGCTGGACATCCCATTGACCGCCCCTTTTTTCTTTTTTTTTTTCTTTTTTAACAGTGCGCGACCACCTCCCCTTGGCCTCCGACGACCTACTGACTGCCTCTGACGACCTCCTGTCAGCCTCCGCCCACCTCCCTTCCGCCATTGGGATCTCCCATCTCCCCTTGCCTTCCCCCCACCTCGCATCCGCCTCCTCCCGCCATCCCGCTGCACATCCCGCTGTGCGCGCCAACCCTCCCTTCCGCCATTGGGATCTCCCATCTCCCTTTGCCCTCCCCCCACCTTGCGTCCGCCTCCTCCCAACATCCCGCTGCACATCCCGCTGTACGCGCCAACCTCCCCTCGGCCTGCGCTGACCTCATGTCCGCCTCTGCCCACCTCCCCACCTCGCGTCCGCCTCCTCCCACCATCCCGCTGCACATCCCGCTGTGCGCGCCAACCCTCCCTTCCACCATTGGGATCTCCCATCTCCCCTTGCCCTCCGCCCACATCGCGTCCGCCTCCTCCCAACATCCCGCTGCACATTCCGCTGTGCGCGCCAACCTCCCCTCGGCCTCCGCTGACCTCCTGTCCGCCTCTGCCCGCCTCCTCCGCCCGCTACCTCCACCCACCTTCGCGAGGCCCCCGCCCGGTACCTCTGTCCACCTCCCCTCGGCCTCCGCCCTATGCCTCCACCCACCGGTCGGCCTTCGCCCGCTCTCCTCTCCGCCTCCTCCCGCCATCTCCTCTCCGCCTCGGCCACTTCTCCTCTGCCCACCTCCCCTCGGCTGGCGGCCCACCCCCCGTCCAACTCCTACCGTCCTCTACCTCCGCCCACCTCCGCTCGGCCTCCACCCGCCCCGCCCGCTAGCATCTCTCCGCGCGGCAAAGACGATTCCTTGGAGGGAGGGGGGAGAGAGAGAGAGAGAGAGAGAGAGAGAGAGAGAGAGAGAGAGAGAGATCTGTTTTCTTTCTTTTTCTTTTCTTCCCCCTCCATACATTGAG